TAGATCTGTATACACAACTCTTTCAGTTATGGCAGCCCTGCTCTAAGCTATTATCTGTCATGCTAAAATGCCCAAACATGGTCTACATGTACCACATATATGCATAATCTGCCTGGTAATTGGGACTTGTCTGGGTGCCTTAAATAGAAGGTATAGACCTTTTAGTTATATTATACACATAAAGATAAATGTTGTTAATGTGTTATTGTTAAACATTTTGTTAATTTGTGTCATTTGTAATTATATAGGTACATGGGACAGAGCTGTTTGTCATGTACATATTCGGTCTCTGCTTTCTGCTAGGCAACGCTTCAGAATTGTTTTAAGACTGTATCTGAAAATACAATTTTTCATTGGTTAGTTCATTGAAAACATTGTACTTCTATGTGTCCGGAGTGTTATCCCAACTGTTGTTTAAATATTTAAATAAAAAAAAACTGCACTTGTGACAATACTTAGTGTTTCGCTCTAAAGCAGCTTGAGCAAATCCTATAACCCCGGTATCGGAAATGTAAATATCTGATTATATCAGTGCTACAACATCCCCCTCAATATCACTTAAATATACAAATCCTGTGCACTTAAAATATGCAATAACTTAAATATAAAAAATAGTGTTGTCACATACGATAATTCCACATCCATATTCCAGTGCATAAATACATATATTAATGTAAAAAGTATAGATTCATCCAAATCGAGATAATGATCCAAAACTTTGTGCACTTCTTCTGCCTTCGTGATCCACCTTAGTGTTCAAACCAGTATCCCATTAAAACTCTCACCAGATACATATGAACCCCTTAATGTTAAGCAGTTCTAAGTGACATGTAATATCTAAGAGTGGCCATCCCATTCCACTTGAGTTAGAGGGCTGTGGAAGTTCCTACCAGGGATTGTTCATCCTGGAAAAAGTATTTGATTAATCTCTGTGTCTCATATCATTATCCCTAATGTCTGTAGGAAGATGATATCTATTCTACATCAGAATCAGCATTCTTGAATAAACTCTGTCCCCTCTACTGTCAAGAATCTTTCCCTAAAATTTTAATATTTTCTTTTTAATACTCTTTCCAAGGGGAAACCCTACATCAGTTCTGCTTTTCTGACTCTAGTGTTTCCCTTCTTCAAGGATTCAGTGTTTCAATATCCCTTGGGATTGGGATTTAATCATAACTGGTGAAATTTCAACAAAATCACATAGCTCCTGCTTAGCCGACTAACATCTCTCATTAATTTAAATTTATGTTTTCTTACCTCTATTTTCCTTTGTAGTGAACTTTCATGTAAGTAGTTTAGAAATTCAGAATATTCCTGAAGAGCCTAAAATGGTATTGGACATTCTTTGTTTCCTGGATATTTCCCAATTCCTCCTCCTTCTCTGTATACATATAGTATAACTAGTATTTTTTTTTTTCACAAAAGTTAAAGAGCTCCTGCTATTCCAAATGGCAGACACTGGGCCCAGAACTCGAAAGTTGTGTGTCTTGCATATAGCTTGCCGACTGTCTTTCTAGAAACCCTCTGAAAGAGTTTTTTAATATAACTGCAAAATTATAATATTAATAAAGGGCTTTTTAATTTTGGTTACTACACATGGAGAATATTTTTATTCTATGTGGGATGTTTAAACTGGTATGAGTGACAGAGGAACTGCATACAATACAACCCTTAGTTTGGAGAGAGAGGAACTTGGTGGCTGCTGGAGATATTATATCTGGCTTTATATGACATGCTCTTTATTAAAGGGTCATGCGTATCTGGTGGGAATTTTTACTGGATAGTTAGTGTGAACACTTGAGGTGAATCACCAAGGAAGAAGTGCACAGTGTTCTGGATCATTACCATGTTTCGAATGAAAATGTGAATTTTTGATAGAGTGTGTGTATGATTGTGTGTGTGTATGTATGTGTGTGTTGTGTGTGTGTGTGTGTGTGTATATATATATATAAATATATATATATATTATATGTGACAGTGTGACGATCTGTCACCCTGGATCTCAACAAGGCAGGTTGAGGGCTCCAGGGTAAAGGTTTGATATGGAGGAAAGTGGCTTTTTCATTTTCCTCCTTTGTTTGTAAGGTCTGTTTTGGGATCTGGAGCCTGGAGATTTCAAAGAGATCTCGGGAGGGATGAAATCTCCAATCCTGGGACCAGGTTTTGGGAATGGCCAGGAGACTGATTGCACAGGTGTGTGCAGGCCTCTTCATAGAGTCAGGACCAGGGTTCTGGGCTCCACCCCGGCAGATGGGAGTCAGGAGGGCACCACCTAGAAGACAGGAGTCAGGTGGGCTTCACCTAGGAGAGGTGGAAGCCAAAAGCAGCAAGGGGCTGCTAGAGACTAGCTGTGTGCTAGTGGCCAGCTGTGAGCAAGAGCCATAATTCTTGAAGAAGTCTGCAGGAGGCAGACATTGAACTGTGTGTAAGCCAGGAGGCTGAATCTTTGTTTTGTTGGTGGATATCTGGTGGATAACCCCTGCGTGGGAAGCATTATGTTTGAACTTTCATTTAAATAAAAGTGGCTAAAAAGGCCCTGAAAAAGAAAGCGAGTAGATTTACTGTTTGCATTTGAAAGCTCTACCACGTTGAAGCGAGTTCCCACAATACTATAATATATATATATATAAATATATATTTTTATATATAGCATTTGTTTCCATTTTTAAGTATTGCATGTTTTTAGTGCACGTTCACTAGTTTTTGTATATTTGAGTGGTATTAAGGGGGGCGCTGGAGGATATGCAATTTCTCTTCTTCCCTTTCTTGTTCTGACCTGGAAGTGATGTGTATGACTCACTTCCGGTCCCGGTTGACAGCTTTCCCAGCCATCAAATCCGGGAAAGAATGTAATGCAGTGCGATCTGCACTGCTTTACATTCAATGGAGCACAGGGGAGACATGCAGGATCTTTTAGACTCTGGGTGTCTCAAAGAAAACCTGTCACCAAAAAGTCCCCTATGTTTTCTTTAATTGTACAAAATTGCAAAAGTTACACCCAAACACATAACCCCTTTCCCCCCTACAAAAAAAAAAAATTTTTTTTGAGGCCCCTCACCCCCACATACAAATATAAACCCAGGGCGCCTATGCATGAAATTGTCAATTGTGATACATTACATATTGCCGTGCATGCCAGAATGAGAGCAATAATTCTAGCACCATACCTACTCCATAATGCTAAGCTTTTGACCTAGAGGGGGCTTTGCCTATAGAAAATATAGGGTACTAATGTTTATCGCCATTTCGCAAGTGCACGCAAATTTAAGGTTTGACATGTTGGGTATCTATGTACTCAGTGGAACCTCATCTTTTATATTTTACTAAAAATTGGGTAATGTATTGCCTTCTTGTGCCCAAAAATTAACTTAAGTGTGTTTTTTTTTTTACTGAAATTTTGTGTTTTCCTAGACTTTTTTTTTAGTATCGTTTGAGGTTTAAAAATTTTTTTTTGAGGGGTTTTTGATTTTAATGTTTTTTTTTTTTATGTTTGTTATATTGTGCATTTTTTCATTCTTTTAAAAGGTGAACGGATCCTTTAACAGAGTGGACACTGGAGCTTGATTTGGCTGCTCAGCAGACGCGTGTACTGAGCACCCAAGTGCTATCCGTGTGCGAGGGGGCAACCTGAAGGAATCTTTTGTTTTTTTTCCCATTGGGGCCCATGCCTCATTTACTCGCTCAGAAGATGTACTTATGCTGAGCGTTAAGAGAGCCTGACACTCCCTTTTCTTGACGAGCACCCAATCGGTGCTCATCACACTGCAAGGTCTCTTCCCTCTCTGCTAGTCCCCAGGTGTGGTACTGGAGACAAGCAGGGAGGTAAGTAGGACATAAACAGCGCAATGTTAAAAATATTAAAAGTTTAAGCTGCCATAAAGCCTCTTAACTTTTTGAAAGCCCCAGACATTCCTAATAGCACCAGAGATTTAAATACAGCTTTGGTTAACATTTTTTTTATCAGGGCAAGTAGATTGTCATGAGGGATAAGTAGATTAGGACTTTGATTTAGTCCCTCGGCCATGCCGGTTTTTCAAAAATTTCCACACCCCTGTAGGAGTATAACATTACAGATTTTAGTGTGTTTTTGTTACATGTTGTAACGTGTGGTTTATCAGATTTATACTAAAAATCATAAGCTCCTGCACTCAGTGTAATATCTTCCCTTTGCTATAATAATTCCCAGCTGCTACCCAAAACTGTGTTCCCAAAAGAAAATAAATCAATAAATTTGACAGTGCTCTAAATCAATATGTGACCTTAAAATGTGCTGAAATGCATATACACAAATTTCAAAACTTCATGCTTAATAATCATAAACCTCAATTCATAATGCCTTTGGCAGACACTGTACAGCAGAGCTGACGCTGGACGGGGTAGAAGTGTTGCAAGGGGCAGTCAGTAGAGAAGGTATGTGCAGATCTCTGAACTGGATAGACAGAAAAATAAATCTTTGACAAGTAAAAGAGCTTTTATATATATATTTCAACTGCGTAACAAAATTAATGATTATGTGCTTACTAGATACACAGTACATTATAATTTCCCTTGAAAAAATGTATTGATTGAAAACGTATAAGAAGTGGGTAAGAATTTAATGTGAATCTAAGTTGTAGATTGTTTTTGTGCATTTATCACTTTTTCCTACAGAAACATTTTCAAAAGTATTTTGTGTGCAACTAATTTGTTGATAGGTAGCACTTGATAGTGCTGGGTGTTATTTACCACAGGTGTATCTTGTTCTTGAATGCAAAGAAAAGTAGTTGCTTAAGAACAGGGCCCTCTGTTTTCTCTTGTACCAAATTGTATTGTAACTGTAAATGTCTTTGTTGGAAAGTGCTGCGCAAACTGTTGGCGTTCTATAAATCCCTGTATAATAATACAAATAAACAAGTCTTCCTTTATGATCTAATGTCATTTCTCAAGTGAAATTTAACCAATATATAAATAATATAGCATTTTTGGGCCTTTCTAAATTAATGTTTTTTTCTTTACTTCAGTGTTATTATTACAACAGTACTGTATCTTTCGGATGCATTGCGGAAGAACTTTTTGAATGAGGGCTTTGACTATAAGGTAGGTGTTATGTTTTGTTTATTGAGGAAATTATAATACACATAGGCCTGTCATCCATTGCCAGCATATGCAATAAAAAGGCAGTCTGAAACAATGATACAACAATGGAAGCTTTGACTAAAGATTTCAGCCTCTTTGTTTAACCAAGTTGTACATACATAGAATAGTTCTGAGCATTTAAAAAAAACATCTAACTTGTTAAAAAGTTTGTTAAAAAATGCTCCATGCACAATAGCATTTGTTTTAAGCTCAATACATGTTGGAAAAACTGCTTGGATAAAAAAAAACACTGCTTAGTAGAGTGTTTAGGAGCGTTATATTAGTATTATTACTGTACATGGTAGGTAAAAAAAAGCTTTTAGAAGCATTTCATAGCTTTTTAGCGTTTTTATTTCTGCTGGAAAAACGCTCCCAAAAACGCTACAAAAACTTTTCTTTTTTCTGCTTTTAAAAGCTGAAGCTTGAAAATCGCTACTAGCCTAAAATAGTGTGCATGGACAACATAGGGATAACACTATTTAGTTCTATGAGCAGAAACAAAATGCTAATAACCGCTTCTAAGAGCTTAAAAAATCTAGTGTGCATGGAGCCTCACTGCAACCTTTCGTGTTTGCATCTTGATAAACGAATACCTGTTAGGCTGAATTGGAGTGCAAGTACATTTGGAAAACTGTGGAGACTAAGATTGAGCTCTGCAGTCACATTTGCAGCAGTTGTTTTCTTATTCTGGGTCACACACACTCTGCGCAATGTCCTTTTGGTCTCTTTCGGTCATTTGATCATGGGTCGACTGCGCTTATGTCATCAGACTATTTTTTTCCCCAGAAAACTGTATATACCCTCTTAACCTTTCCATACTGTATCTTACGACACAACAAATTAAATTGGCAACTTCAGTCACAGAGGCACCAGTTAAGATGGGCACCAACAATTTGCCTTCTTTGAAGCTCAGTAATTCTCTGACACGACTCTGCACTACTAGCAGTGCACGCAATGAATGATGAAAGTAAAAGCTTCCCACCTGTTGGCTAAGCGTTTCATCACACAGCGAAGCAAAAGATTGATACATCACTCCGCTTTCAACGAGAAACATGTCCTATATAATATAACTATATCTATATATATATATAACTGGTTTAAAAAGGGATGCTAGCATGGGCAAGTGTGTCCCTATTCCTGATAGGTGGTATACATGTCGCTGCCAGTCTGACCGTTAATCAAGATGGGCAGACAGCAGTGTTAGTGCGTGCATGGAACAGCGTGTGGTGATTAAAGTTTTGTTTGTGAACAAAGCGTAAAACTCCAAAAGACTTCAAACACAGTGCAGTGATGAGACCTCACATTTGACGCTCAGCCGCAGTAAGACATTTGAATGGTGTAAAACATTTCAAAGATGCCATACATCCATCAGTGACGATCCCGGCTGTGGTGGTTTCCAGCCCAAATAGCAGTCATTGCTGTGAACATTCAGCCCGTGAATGCCTGATTCTTGGATAATCGACGCATAACCTGTTTGTGAAATTGCACAAGAGATTAATCTTACCTTGGGAACGGTGAACACAATGATGAAGTGAAGCAAGGCTGTCCTAGGATGGTTTAGGCGTACTGACAAATCCTTCTATGCCGAAGCTTTCCAGACATTCGTTAAATGTTGGGATAAATGTATAAAAAATTTAGCAGGGGAGTATGTAAAAGAAATAAATGCAGTTTCCATTCCTTGAAATTTGTTCCTTATATATATAAGCTCAATAGTCCCTGTTTTACGTGAACGCCCCTCTTAAATAATAAACATTGTTAAATACCTTTTTGTCCTCCTTTTTTGTTAATAAGTAATCGCATACCCTCTGTTCTTAGCTGCAGCAGAGAAAAGATGGGAGGAGAAACAGCAGCTGTGCAGTGGGGTCTTGTCAGCACTAGCCTGATTATTGAATTGGCTCCCCAGCAACAACCAGAACACTGTAAAGAGGGACTGGCAGGATCACCAGGGATTTCACACAAAGGAAGCAATACAAAGAGAACAGGATACTTTTTCGTCCAAACTACATTATATAGCAGTACGCATATCAGGAGAATTAAATGTTGGGTTTACATACTGTTTTAATTCTCATCAAAATAACATAGAATTGCAGCATTACACAAATTTACCAGCCGGTGCTAACAAAAGCACTTATATCAGCAGTCATCACTAGGATTCCCAATATGTCGGAGTGACATCACGCATAAAAGCTCCACCAGGGTTGAGGCAGATTTAAAGGGGAATCCACCTTATTACTAACATGCATTTTTGCTGCCTGTGGTTAAGTAGCCATTGATTCTGGTGAGTCTTCACTTTCATGGGTGAAGTTGTATGGATCTTCATTTGACTCACGTTATAGGGGTAAAGAAGGAAATGTACTGAAGTTGAATAAGATACTTTTTTCACATTGTATAAGTAATGAATGTTTTTTCTGGCACTACAATTTTAAACCTTGTAATTGACCTGTGTGATAGATAGGTGAAGCCTATTTGCTCATTTTGAACTATCCAGCAGGAGTAAAATATGCTCTATTAAAAGTATTGCAGTTATATGAGTTTATCACCTGCAGATACGACTGTAGAGAAATTGGAATGAGAGAATTCCTCCTAACCCTGTTCTCTTATATCATTGATATCGCTACTACTCCAAATTGTTGTGAAATAGAGTAGGCTAGAGGTTTTCCCTATATAAAGGTATAATATAATCTGGAAATGTAGTTGCATGTACACAAATTAGAATAGTACATGCTCCAGTAAGAAGGGCTGGAGCAAAATATTCTTTAACCCTAATTTGGATTTCCAACTGCTCACCTAAAATTGGATACTTCAAAATGTCCAGGCATCATTTGGATATTTCCAGCCAGATATTTGAGAGCCACTGGGAATGATTAGACAAATTAATTAGCTGTGGTTTTGGCTGCATGTGGAAGCTTTTAAAGATATTACTTGTACATTTTTGGTAAAATTGAGTACCCTTTGTTAGTAAGGAGAGTCTGTCTTGCACAAGAATCAAAAACATTTTCTATGAAGTGTTGACAACGTTGGGTATAAAGAATTCTGATCCAAGCGATGAAGGTGTGACCAAAAATATACTGTCTATCACATATTTTAATAATGTGAAAGTTTAAAACCTTTTTTTATTTGCCTTTTCATTTCCCCTATACAGATTTGGGATTCATACTTTTACCTTGCAGTTATTTTCATAAACCAGTCATGTTTCTGCAGTTGGAAATGTTTACCCCTTCCAAGATGAAAAAAGTCCTTGAAAAGTCACACTAGTGTGCTTTCTGCTACAGTAGGATATGAAAACACATTGAATTGTACAGGTGAAAAAGATACAGTAATTGACCTGGGCGTGCCTTAAACCAGATTTCTTTTAGCCTATATTACTTTAAAATTATACAATCTCCTTTGTAAGGTATAACAATCTTCTTAATTAGGTAGGCCCTCACACCATATACAGTTAGGTCCATATATATTAGGACACAGGCATAATCTTCATACTTTTTGGCTCTGTATGCCACCAGAAAATAATTTAAAATGAAACAATCCAAATGAATTTGAAGTGCAGACTTTCAGCTTTAATTCAAGGGGTTGAAGATACAGTGGATATAAAAAGTCTACAAACCCCTGTTAAAATATCCGGTTTCTGTTATATTTAAAAATGAGACAAAGGCAAATCATTTCAGAACTTTTTCCACCTTTTATGTGACCTATAAATTGTACAACTCACTTGAACAACAAACTGAAATCTTTTAGGTGGAGGGAAGTAAAAATAAAAAACTAAAATAATATGCTTGCTTAAGTGTGCACACCCTTAAACTAATACTTTGTTGAAGCATCTTTTGATTTTATTACAGCACTCAGTCTTTTGGGCATTAGTCTATCAGCATGGAACATCTTCACTTGGCAATATTTGCCCACTCTTCCTTGCAAAAACACTCCAATTCTTTCAGATTGCGAGGGCATCTCCTGTACACAGCCCTCTTCAGATCACCCCACAGATTTTCAATCAGATTCAGGTCTGGGCTCTGGCTGGGCCATTCCAAAAGTTTAATCTTCTTCTGGTGAAGCCATTCCTTTGTTGATTTGGATGTATGCTTTGGGTCGTTGTCAGGCTGAAAGACAAAGTTCCTCTTCATGTTCAGCTTTCTAGCAGAAGTCTGAAGGTTTTGTGCCAATATTGACTGGTATTTGGAACTGTTCAGAATTCCCTCTACCTTGACTAAGGCCCCAGTTCAATCTGATGAAAAACGGCCCCAAAGCATGATGCTGCCACCACCATGCTTCACTGTGGGTATGGTGTTCTTTTGGTGATGTGCAGTTTTGTTTTTGTGCCGAAACATATCTTTTGTAATTATGGCCAAAAAGTTCCACCTTGGGAGACTTCAGATGTGTTTTTGCAAAATTTAGGCGGGTTTGGATGTTTTTCTTCATAAGAAAAGGCTTCCGTCTTGCCATTCTACCCCATAGCCCAGACATATAAAGAATACAGGAGATATTTGTCATATTGTACCACACAGCCAGTACTTGTCAGATATTCCAGCAGCTCCTTTAATGTTGCTGTAGGCCTCTTGGCAGCCTCCCAGACCAGTTTTCTTCTTGTCTTTTCATTAATTTTGGAAGGACGTCCAGTTCTTGCTAATGTCACTGTTGCGCCATATTTTCTCCACTTGATGATGCCTGTCTTCACTGTGTTCCATGGTATTTTTAATGTCTTGGAAATTCTTTTGTACCCTTTTCCCAACTGATACCTTTTAACAATGAGAACCCTCTGATTCTTTGGAAGTTCTCTGCGGACCATGGCTTTTGCTGTAGGATGTGACTAAGAAAATGTCAGGAAAGACCTACTAGAACAGTTTAACTTTATTTGGGGTTAATCAGAGGTACTTTAAATAATGGCAGGTGTTTACTGACTCCTATTTAACATGTTTTTGAATGTGATTGCTTAATTCTGAAAACAGCTACATCCCCAGTTATAAGAGGGTGTGCACACTTATACAACTACATTATTTTAGTTTTTTATGTTTACTCCCCCCCTAAAATATTTCAGTTTGTTTTTCAACTGAGTTGTACAGTTTATAGGTCACGTTAACCTCCCTGGCGGTCTGATTATGTCAATATTTTTGAATGTCAAAGCGGTACATTTTTTTACATGGAAAATTGTTGTTTTATATTGTAGGTCTGTAATTCTTAGGAATGATTCACTTAAGTCTCTCCAAACAAGAGTCTAGTAAAAATCCTGGGTATGATAAAGTTTGAAACACGAAATCATAAATTATAATATAATAAATAATTATAAACAATAATAATATAATAATAAAGTTAATTCAATAATGTAATCAAACCAAAAACACTGAAATTTGTCCAAACAAGGGTGCAATATTACTAGACACTGCATATTGGTTTAGTAAACATCCCGGGTATGAATCATTTTGAAACATGGGACTGCACAAAGTCCGACATCACAATGGAACTTGATTTCCTTTCTGATTTCTTTCCACTGTCATCTTGCTTAGAGCAACAAACCATGCACATCCTTGTAGGTGCTGACTTTTTCTTGGTTGGTGGGATGAAGTCCATGAAGTGACGACCAGTTCTGGGTTGACAACGCCAACAGCACGACGTCTAGCTCTATTCACAGACATTGATGGTATTTGGTGGTTCACAAAGATACGTTTGGCAACTTTCCAAATTAAGTCAGAATGAATCACAAGCCTGTCACTCTTTTTTTTTTTTTTTTTTTTTTTTTGAGCAGAATGTAGGCATTCCACAAGCATTGGTCAAGAAGATGCCTGAAGACCCTCTTGTAGTACTTCTTTTTCTTTTTCCTCATTGCTGGGTAATATGTCATTGCTTGGTCGGCTCTGTCGACACCTCCTGTGGTGTTATTGTAGTCTATCACTACTTGTGGCTTCATGATTTCTTTCCCATCTTTTGTGCGTACCATAACAGTGGAGGTATTATGAATTGTGCTCATTAGGCACACATCTTTCTTGTCACGCCATCACAGTGCCATCATTTTGCCTTTGTGCCAGGCAACCATTTCTCCAGTCTTCAGCTACTTATTGCCAAACATTGGCGGCATGTCATTCCGGTTAGCCCTAACGGTTCCATAGGCATCTGTTTTGTTTTGCAGAAGAAAATCATAAAGTTCATGAGACGTATGAAAGTTGTTGGTTGTTACGCAATAGCCCTGATTTAGCAGTGGCTCAATGAGTGAAAGAACGGAAGATGTTGCCATTCCATAGTTGCTGTTTTTTGGATTGAATTTTGTTCCTTTTCTATTGTATATGACTGAATTCTAAATGTAGCCAGTTGACGATTCGCATAGCATGCAGGATTTTACGCCAAATCATGCTCTCTTTGATGCAATATATTGCACCCAGCTGAGCCTTCCCTTGTAGGCCATTAAACTTCCATCTATGCTGTTATCTCTTTCTGGCACATAGCTTCGTTGGAAATTCTTTAGAATCATTTGAGATACTTCCCAAATTTTCTTTAGTTTTGGTGCAGGATGAGTAGTTTCATCAAATTCTTCATTGTTTTCGAAGTGTAAAAATTTTATGATCAGGGAAAATCTGTACTCTGACATGACCGTGCCAAAGAATGCAGTGGCAAGTAATTTATTAGTTGTCTGATACCACTTCTGCAGGGTTTCTCCAACACTCCCTGAAGCATTATTAGGCCCAGAAATTTGCACGTCATCTTTGGTTACTGGTTCCTACATTTTTCTTCTTGGAAACTTCCCGATGCAGAGTAGCCATTTGTTGCTCTTGGTACCGGTTTGTCTCAGTAGCTATTTTTTTCAATAACCTCATCGGTCATAAATAATTGTAAGTATGCCAAGTGGTTGTCTTGTTCAATGTCTACTTTCACACCAGATGCTCCAGTTAATGGGAATCTTGGGGGTGCTGCCTAATCCATACCACTGTCAATAGAGCACCAAGTTCGCACATCACTGAGCTCAGTTGCAGAATTGCCGCTGTCGTCACTTTCAGTGTCTGATGACGAATTTCCCCACGAATCACTATTGCTCAATTCTGCAAGTGATTCTAATTCACTATCGCAGTTTTCTAGCTGGTCTAAAACCGCTTTTGACCTAAAGGGACGCTTTTTGGATGCCATGGACGTTCTCAAGTTTCCAGGCAGAAAGAATGGCAAAAGTGCAGGCAGGGTACAGGACAAAGCACTAGGGACAAAAATGAAATGTTTTGATACAGTATTGTAATCCTAACAGAATACAATGTATTGTGTGTATGTCATGTTTTGTTTACTTTTTTGAATCTCCCGCCGGTTCCACCCCCCTACATCGCGGCGCTCACAGGGAAGGGAACCCGAAGAAGATGCTGGCATCGGCTGCAGGACGCAGCGGGAGGACATTGGGGGATTGCAGGGACCAGGAAAGTTACACTACAGTGTAATCCCGAGTGTGGCTCAGGGTTACCTCTTTTGGTACTGAAATTAACCCGAGCCACGCTCAGGATTACTGCCAGGGAGGTGGAAAAAGTTCTGAAATGATTTATCTTTTATTACATCACAGAAACCTGACATTTTAACAGGGGTGTGTAGACTTTTCATATCCACTGTAAATATCAAGTACAAATTTTAGGAACTGCAACCATTTTTATACATTTTCAGGAGCTCAAATGTACTGGCAATGACTGCCTAGAATCTGCAACCATGGACATAACCAAAGACTGGGTTTCCTTCTTTCCGATGCTTTACCAGGCTCTAACTGTAGCTGTCTTCAGTATTTCTTTCTGACTAGTTTTTCCTTCAGCAAGTAAAATGCATGCTCAATTGAGTTGAGAGCAAGTGATTGACTTGGTCATTGCAGAATATTCCACTTCTTTTCCTTCAAAAGCTCCTGGGTTGCTTTTGCAGTGTGTTTTGGATTATTGTCCATGTGTAATGTGAAGCGCCGTCCAATCAACTGCTGCATTTGGCTGAATCTGGGCTGACAGTATATCTCTAAACATTGCAGAATAAATCCAGCTGCTTATGTCACATCGTCAATAAACACTAATGACCCAGTGTCACTGGAAGCCATTCATGCCCATGCCATCACACTGCCTCCACCATGTTTTACAAATGACATTGTGTGCTTTGGATCATGAGCTGTTCCAAGCCTTCTCCACACTTTTTTTTCTTCCCGTCATTTTGATATCTTTGTTTCATCTTTCCAAAGAATGCTTTTCCAGAACTGGTCTGGCTTATTTCGATGTTTTTTGGTAAAGTCTAATCTGGCTTTTCTATTCTTCAGGCTTATGAATGGTTTGCACCTTGTGGTGAACCCTCTGTATTTGCTCTCGTGGAGTCTTCTCTTGATTGTAGACTTTGACAATGATACGCCCACCTCCTGGAGAGTGTCCTTCACTTGTCTGGATGTTGTGAATGGGTTTTTCTTTACCATAGAGCGGATCCTGCAATAATCCACCACTGTTGTCTTCCGTGGCTGTCCATGCCTTTTTGCTGAGCTCACCAGTGCATTCTTCTTTCCTCAGAATGTACCAAACTGTTGATATGGCCACTCCTAACATTGCAACTATCTCGCTGATGGATTTGTTTAATTTTTGAAGTCTTACAATGGCCTTTTTAATTGCATGGACAGCTCCTTTGAATGCATGATGTAGGTTTATAGCAATAGATTCCAAATGCAAATACCACACTTAGAATCAACTCCAGACCTTTTACCTGCTTAATTGATGAAGAAATAACAAAGGAGTAGCCCACAACTGACCATGAAACATCTTTTGATTAAATTGTCCAATTACTTTTGGTCCCTTGAAAAAGGGGGGGTGGCTACTCTTAAAAGCTTTAATTCCTAAACCCTTCCTCCAATTTGGATGTACATACCCTCAAATTAAACCTGATAGTGTGCACTTTCAGCCCATATCCATTATATAACTATAGCTTGAATATAATTTGGTAAATACCTGAAAAAAGCTAAAATTGTGTCTGTGTTCAAATATTTATGGACCTAACTGTAGTTGTTGGTTAATCTGAGGCCAATGTCACTTTAGCGATCCCATCATTGGGAGAAAACTTGCTGGCAACAGGATCTCTCTATACTGATTCAGGTAACTTACTTGATTCCATGCATTTTTCCCATGCTTTCCCATGGTGTCGCCGTTGACAGAAATGTACAGTTGTGTCCAAAATTATTCAACCCCCAATGCTGTAAAGGGGTTTAGGGACTATAGTGTACATTTGGAATTGTATTCAAATCAAATCCTACAAGGACGTTGTAACTACCCAAATGCAACTAAAATGACATCAATTGTTTATGTAATACAGTAGTAAATGGTTCTTATGTGGTTTCTTCATTGCCACAATTATTCAACCCCTTAAAGACTACCACTCTGAAGAACAGAGGTTCATACAGGTGCTTTCCATCAGGTATTGAAAACACCTGTGGATGTCACCGAGCAGCAATCAAGCATAATAAGCACCAATTAGGCAGCTTTAAAATGACTGTGATACTCAGCTCCTTCTAGACATTTACTGGTGTGGTTACAAACATGGTGAAGGCAAGAGAATGGTCCAGGAAGACAAGAGAAGAGGTGATTTCTCTTCACAGGAAGGGCAATGGCTATAAGAAGATTGCAAAGATGTTAAACATACCAAGAGACACCTTAGGAAGCATCATTCGCAAATTCAAGGCAAAGGGCACTGTTGAAACGCTACCTGGTCGTGGCAGAAAGAAGATGCTGACTTCGACTGCTGTGCGCTACCTGAAGCGTAGAGTGGAGAGAAGTCCCCGTGTGACTGCTGAGGAACTGAGAAAAGATTTGTCAGATGTGGGTACAGAAGTTTCAGCCCAGACAATAAGACGCACACTGCGTAATGAAGGCCTCCGTGCCAGAACTCCCAGGCGTACCCCCTTGCTGTCTCCAAAGAATAAGAAGAGTCGACTGCAGTATGCCAAAAGCCATGTGGACAAAACCACAAAAGTTGTGGGATAGTGTTCTGTGGACTGATGAAACAAAATTAGAACTGTTTGGGCCCATGGATCAACGCTATGTTTGGAGGAGGAAGAACAAGGCCTATGATGAAAAGAACACCTTGCCTACTGTGAAGCATGGTGGAGGGTCAATCATGCTTTGGGGCTGTTTTGCTTCTGCAGGTACAGGGAAGCTTCAGCGTGTGCAAGGTACCATGAATTCTCTTCAGTACCAGGAGATATTGGATGGAAACGTGATGCAGTCCGTCACACACCTGAGGCTTGGGAGACGTTGGACCTTTCAACAGGACAATGATCCCAAGCATACCTCCAAGTCCACTAGAGCATGGTTGCAGAGGAAAGGCTGGAACATTTTGGAGTGGCCATCGCAGTCACCAGACTTAAATCCGATTGAGAACCTCTGGTGGGACTTAAAGAAAGCAGTTGCAGTGCGCAAGCCTAAGAATGTGACTGAACTGGAGGCCTTTGCCCATGAAGAATGGGCGAAGATACCCGTAGATCGCTGCAAGACACTTGTGTCAAGCTATGCTTCACGTTTAAAAGCTGTTATAACTGTAAAAGGATGCTGTACTAAGTACTAAGATTGAATGTCACTTGGGGGTTGAATAAAACTGATAATGCTGTGAGCACAGAAAAGACATTTGTGGTTATTTCATTATAACTGTTATGTTATATTTGTCTGACCTACAAGTGCCTCTTTAATGTAAATGTAAGCAAGATGACTGAATGATCAAAAGCAATGTCAAACTGGCCAAAACACTCAATTTCAGTGGGGGTTGAATAATTTTGGACACAACTGTAAAATGTCTATTCAAAAAGATTATTGTATTCCGTGAATCAAGCTAGCAATCGAATTAATTGTCATGTTTGCTATTGTCCAATAATATGATTCAGCGTATGTCATTCAACATATACAAGCAGTATCCTTACACAGTATACCATGGTTTTACTCTCTGTGGTTGGGGTACTCTTAAAGATTTTACTGTCACCTCTACAGTAGAACAGTTACCAGGAAAAATATCCCAACATTCATAAACAGGTCTCTTCCTGTGTACCTTAACCATTAGAAGTAGGAGTACTTTCCTCTCACAGAAGTCACAAAAAATAATAGATAATCGACACTTTGTTCTTTATCCATGTTGAAGATAGTGTAAGCCCCTATCCCTTTTACTGCCATGGATATAAGGCTGGCCATAGATGGAGTGAACTTCTTTCCTGAAACAAAGACATTAACTTGATTCTCCCATCAACATAGACAGTGTTGACAGAGGTGTCCCTCCCATGGGGCCATTGTATTCTCCCTGCAGGTGGGAGGGAGAACACAGTGGTTATTGCTAGCGGCTATAACAGCATGTAAAATCAGGCAGGATGGTGGTACCCAAGTTGATCCATCTATCAACTTGGGTACATTCAGCCTGCTCATACACAGTTTGAATTTCGGCCAGTTCCTGCTGACCGGGTTTAGGGTTATGTCTGACTACGTGCAGCAGGCTATCTTGGTAACTCTTACATCCACTTCAGTTTCAGAGGCTGTAAATTTATAGTCACTTCAGTCATCTGGTGCCCAAGACTGCCTTTGATTATGAATGAAATAAAAATGTACACTACTGTCCTATGCCTGTGCAGTCACTCCCTAGGAGTGTGACCACAACTGCAGTAGCATCCAGTATGCATTCTTTACAGTCCCCGGGGAAGAGGAGACCAGCTCTCTCTCTTCTTGCCGGTCTAATCCCTGGCTTTTTTTTCAGAATGTAAAGACTGGTAAAGATTAATGTTTACTGATCTTCTGTGAAGTAAATCTGAATCAGACGTGCTCATTTATCATTAATAATGCTTTATTTAAAGTATAACTGAAGGAAAAACATTTAGAGTGGAGAGGGATTAGGACACCTGTCAAGTTTTAATTGTTGTTTGTACCCCTTTTGGGGAGATTCACCCTCTCTATTTGTCTGGTTACCAATATCACTGAAAATGAATGAAAGAAAATCACAAATTGTGGGTGGTCGATAGAACAGAAATACACCATGTTCCAAATTATTATGCAAATTATATTTTAACAACATTTTAACTTTTTAAACATTTTAACAGGTCACGTTACATTTTAACATAGGACCCCTTATTTGATAGCAGCTTCACAAGTCTTGCATCCATTGAACTTGTGAGTTTTTGGACAGTTTCTGCTTGAATTTGTTTGCAAGATGTCAGAATAGCCTCCCAGAGCTGCTGTTTGGATGTAAACTTCCTCCCACCCTCATAGATCTTTTGCTTGAGGATGCTCTAAAGGTTCTCAATAGGATGGAGGTCAGGGGAGGATGGAGGCCACACCATGACTTTCTCTCCTTTTATCCCCATAACAGCCATTGATGCAGAGGTATTCTTTGCAGCATGAGATGGTGCATTGTCATGCATGAAGATGATTTTATTACAGAAAACATAGTTCTTCTTTCTGTACCAGGGAAGAAAGTGGTCAGTCATAAACTCCACATACTTTGCAGAGGTCATCTTTACACCTTCGGGGGCTCTAAAGGGGCCGACCCGCTCTGTTCCCATGATTCCGGCCCAAAACATGACTCCACCACTGCCTTGCTGACGTCGCAGCCTTGTTGGAACAGGATGGCTGTCCACCAACCATCCAGTACAGGGACTGTTTCTATCCATCTGGACCATCCTGGGTTTTGCACGGCACGCATCAGTGACTCACCAGGACTGTTTGAAAATTAGTCTTCATGTCTTGATTTTTCTGCCCAATGTAGTCCTAACCCGTCAGTGCTTGTGCCACAGCATTGGTTAGTGGTGGCCGAATAGAAGTTTTTATGCACAGTTGCAAGACTCTGGAGGACTTTCACCTTGATGTCCGTGGGACTCCAGAGGCACCTTAAAGCAGCTTCAAATATCTGTTTGCTGCTATGTAATGGTATTTTAGCAGCTGCTCTCTTGAACCGATGCATTTGGTTCTGGCAGAAATCTTCCTCAATGTGTCTTTATCTGCACATAACCAAAGTGGTCATAACCCTCCTTCAGTGCTCTGAATCAGCCTACAAATATTCCTTAGTAGCAATGATCACGCTAAAGGAACTTTACTAGAGCAGTTGTTTTTGTAAAATATCTACAGTTCTTCCTTTTTCATACCTTGCTCGTCCAATGGCATTGAACTTTTCACTCTTTTCGATTGCGAAATCTGCAATCACAAGAGAAAGAAGCAGCTAGTAGTGCTAAAGAGTACTAGTATTAACTTTAATGGTTTTTCATATCATGGCTTTGTTCTCTTTCAGCAACTCATGTAAAAGCATCTATATGTATTAATTCAGCGAAATCTGCAATAGTAGTCATATTTTAACTTTACGTGTGTGTTTCAGCAACTGTGTCTATATATATAAGGATAGTAGTCCTATTTTACGTGTGTGTGTGTGTATATATAGTATATCCATAGCAGTTCATGTACAAAGAATTTCTTACATCTAGCAATCTGCAAATGCATGCATTGTCTAATCGGGTTTTTGCCATGGTTACATGCATTTACATGTTTTCATACATTTATATTAGCAAAATATGAAATTGTCATTAAACAGCAGGAAGCTTAAAAAATAAAATTCAGATAAAAAAAAGATATTAAGTATGGAACTGAATTGGTATCACCATAGTTTTTAGCATTTGCCTTGATTTGTTAAATGCAGATATAATGCCTGTGTGTGTGATATCTTAAACATTTCTTTCTGACCCTCCCATATGCCATCATTTGTACATAGCCTTGTCTTTTTTAGGTATGGTGACATGCGTGTGACAATGGGCTGTGAAATCTTCAGCATGTGGCAGAATTTAGGTAGGACGATCTATCATTTTCAACATATGGTTGAACTGCAATTTAATCATAGTCATTGCTTTTGTACACTGAAGTGTCCTGTATGATAAGATTATACTCATTCTGTCCTGATTTATTAGAACTCTCTGACAGTTGTAAGTGACTATTACATGTTTTGGCCAGAGGATTACCTCCCACCTGCATCTGTGCCTGACTCATTCATGATGTTTAAGGAGCCACAAATGTTAAAATCTACATAATTCCCTAAATTCCCAAAACTGAAAAAAAATGGGATGGGGACATTATTCATTACTCTATTCTTCTTCACAGACCATTCAAATGGTATTTATGTGATTTTCCTAGAGACACATGCAGATGAGAAAATGTGACCTTTCTAGACCATTGTGTAAATTGGTTCCAGCCATATATCTAGCTCTTGCCTCCATTATTGTAAGTGCAGGCAATGAAAAATAAAGCAGTGTAACTTTAAAGGCCAGCTCACACTACAAAAGCATACTCTGATGCGTTCCAGATGCCTTTTTGCTTACAGTTCACACTGCACTCTGTTCTGGTGTGTTTTTGATGCATTTTACTATGTTCCACTATAGTTCTATGCAGAATAAATGCAGCATGTTCTACTTTTTTTTTTTTTTCTGCACCAGAAACTGACTGACTGGACCTGACTGCACTGGTGTGAAGTAGGCCAATTCAATGAAAACACTGTGCATGCATTTTTGATGCAGAAAAAAATGCACTGGGCTGCATCTGGTGTGAACCAGTTCTAATGAAACCTACACAGCAAAAATGCACTACAGGGCAGCACAGTGGCTAAATGGTTAGCACTTTGGCCTGGCAGTACTAGGGTCGTTCAAATCCCAGCCATAGCACCACCTGCCTGGAGTTTGCATGTTCTCTCTGTGCCTGCGTGGGTTTCCTCTGGGTACTCTAGTTTCCTCCCACACTCCAAAGACATGCTGGTAGTTAATTGGATCCTGTCTAAATTGGCCCTAGTGTGTGCATATATGAATGTAAGTTAGGGACCTTAGATTGTACACCCCTTGATGGTTAGGGACTGGTGTGAATGTACAATATATATGTATAGTGCTGCGTAAATTGACAGCACTATATAAGTACCTGAAATAAATAATAATAGGTTCAGTTCCCTAGAGGAAGCTCCTAGCCGCTTGTGCATTGTGCTGCTTGCAGTCAGTAACACATTCTCATGCAGTATATAAAAGGTTCAAGACTGCAACCCTACTTGAGTGATATCTAGCTAGGCTTCATTGTTGCTGTCCATGAATAGCCTGTTTTTTTTTTGTTTTTTTTTGTTTTCTTGTTTTTAGTAGAAGAGTTTGCTGTGCACTTAAGTTAGCCATCCATGGATCAAAATTCATCTGGTTCAGCAGGGACTGGACGAATTTTGAACCATGTATGGGTAGGGAGGTTGTACAGTAGTCGATCTACCAGGGTCTGCTTTAAAGTAATTGTAAATGCTCCAATTTATTTTAGATTAAAATAACAAATATATTATACTCCTCTGCTCTATTCAATGGTTTTGCACAGACTAGTCACAGTGAGACTCTTCTGGGGTCCCCTGCCAGCCCTCCTGGCTCTCCCTCTGTGCTGAGTGCCCATAGCAAGAATAAGTAATTAAGGGGAGCGACAGGGGGAGCTGCACACAGAAGATTTTCTTTTTACCTTAATTCATGGAATGCATTAAGGTAAAGAATACAATATTCCGTCTTTACAACCACTTTAAAGCGTATGAGAGATGACATGTCCAATGCATGGCTCAGAATTACTACAATCAATTTATGAACTCTCAGGTTCTTTAAGTAAAAACCATTCACATACCTTTCCTTGCTCCTGGGAGCAAGGAAGCTACATTACCATTGTCAGGAAAGGTTGCAGTACGCCCCAGAGGTGCCCCATGAAAGCAATCCTCACTCTGCCCTGTGCCTCCAGTTTATGAACTCTTCAGTGCCATTTTTTGCTAGACTGTTAAGTGCACTAGTCGTTGATATGCTGATTTTTTTTTTTTTTTTTTATTGTATTTTCCACAGTTACTAAAATATTCTTTGTACTGTGCCAAAAAAGATAAGAACACTATATAAATTAAAAATAATAATAAGTTACTTATATAAAATCAGCATTCATTCTTTAGCATAATAGTAATATTTCCTGGACAGCATTTTCAGTTCACTGAATGATTTTAATATGACAGTAATGATTTTTTTTTTGTTTTACATTTAAAAGATCATTCACTTATAGGAGATGCCAATATGCTATACAAGGCACAAAATGTTTCTAAGTAGCACCGTTACCTTGTTTTCTGTGACCTCTTGTGCTCTTTCACAGGTGAACACAAGTTGCACTTTATCCCAGCCTTAATTGGTCCATTTCTGGAGGTAACACTGATACCTCAGCCAGACTTGAGGAATGTTATGATACCCATTTTCCATGACATGATGGACTGGGAGCAGAGACGAAGTGGCAACTTTAAAAGGTACTTAATGTTAGAATCATATTAATATGATTGTTTTAAAACCCATTTTCTATGAATCTTTTATTGTTGTGAACATGATCTTCTGAAACTGAAATCTACTAGTTGCCTTTAAAGAGATCTAGACAACATGACCCTCATTTTCTGATTGTGAGGCTTGAATAGTGTAATACCATTTGTTTAATTTACTGGCTGGTATAAGCCATGTGAGAATGTATTTTTTTAAAAAAAAAAAAACTTTATAAACCTGTGGCTTTGCATTAGTCTTTTTATTAGTGTTGGTGACTCAAATGAACCTGTGATAGTAGGCTTACTGACTCCTGTCATATCCCGTCTTACCTTTCATGGCACTGTTTGAGTTATTGCTACATAACCGTTATGTAAGGATTGTGGATGAAATCCAAAAATAGTGCAAACTTAATTTTTTTTATGTTCTACCAGTGGTGTATCATTCATATATGTAATGGGTGTGGTGCACGTGGATTCTTGGGGGGGAAGGGGGCTGCTGTACACTAACACACAGTGCACACATGGAAGAGCTGCTGCCACTCCCCTGCCCTCTGAAATGCCCCACTCCTGCAGCACCACTCCCCTGTGGCTCCCCTGCAGCTGCTGGCAGGGAGCCTCAGGGGGATTTAACTGTGAAAATAGATCCCCCCCACTGTTCTGACCCAGCCTGGACAGCCACCTTCTCCAACCAATCCCCCAGAATGCTACAGGAGCAGTAAGATGGGTGTCAGGATGGAGATTGAGGGCTGGTAAAACAGCTCTTGTGTTTATTCATCACTGAAGCATTGTAAACTGACTTTAATATGCTTCAGTTTGTGAATAAATAGGAGACTTTTATTCATTCATCTACAATGCAGCTGAGGTTGCAGAGAAAGGGAATGAGGACTCTGTCCTCAGTCCCTTGCTGTGTCTCACAAAAAAAAAGAGACATCAGGGGTCTGTTTACGCTCTTGATGTTTCACCAAAGCCCCTCCCCCTCCCCAAAAAAGGAAAAAAAAAAAATTGTTAAAAAAAATAACTTGTTAAAGTAATGTAAATTTTAAAAATGACATGCAGGGTATTTATGACAGAAGAGACCCTATTGGTCTCTTCTGCCATAAATGCACTCCCCTGCCTGTCAGCTGCTGTCATGCCACGTATGTTCAGCTCAGTTAACATTTACGGCCCTGATCCATGCCGCGGCAAATTGACTCCTGTGTGCATGCGTGGGTGTGACGTCATCGCGGCCCGGCCTATCGCAAGGCCGAAGGCATGGGACCCTGAAGGAAGACTGGGCAAAGATGGAAGCACTGGGGCTTCTCTAGATTAATCTCAACACAGTGCTGGAGGGCACCGTTTGACAGGTAAGTCTGCTATAATATACTAATATGCCATGCATACTAGCACATTATGGCATAACCCACCTGGTGGGCCATAAAAATGAAATTTTACAGCTCAGTTTACTACCGTTTTAAGGCCTCATTCACATGTGGCATACTATAGTGTACACTTGTGTTTATACACATGGGGATGTGCAGGTTTTCCATGCTACCTTGTGCAGGCAGTTCCATTCATGCCAACTGGAAAGCAGTAGCTGCACAGGTACAGTCTTTTGACATCTGCGTGGGTGTGGGTACTTGTCCTTAAACTCACACTGTCTGCGTTTTGGGCTGTGCACCCACACAGATTAAGAGCAGCGTCAGGGTCTGTGCAGCTTCTGTGTCACAGTTGACATGAATGGGATTGCCTGCATGGAGCACAGAACATGGAATGCACAGAACACATGTGCATTCCTTTCTGCATAAACATGTCCCTCACACAGGGGTACACTACAGTACGCCCCAAGTGAATGAGGCCTTGGTAGGGTTTTAACAGGAATTTTGCAGGTTATGTTGTGTTTATGTGTGCTAATAATGTTTTTAGTGTATTTTTTGTGAAAACAGTGATTTAATAAATAGTTTTGCAGGGGGCCTAAATATCAGCTATTGTGGGGGTTGTACTGGCTCCCAGTACAGTCTCCCTAGCTCAGTCTAGGGAAGGGGGGGATTATACTGGGGGACAGATTGACCTGGGTGGAAGGAAGGACTATAATGGGGGATAGTATGACCTGTAGGGGGGGAGGGGTGTTGTACTGGGGGGGGGGGGGGGGGCACTCAGCAACTTAGCAGGGCCCCTGACACAATTAAAACCATGGCCACTACAATTTTTTTTTTCATCTAGCAATAGGGCACAACTTTGATCTTTCGCACAGGCCCACTGATTTTCTAAAATACCCATGTGTTCTACTGCCAGTAATACTCATGTGTTACATCCTTTATAGGAGTCAGTGATCATTTTTTTTAAGCTTTGGTTGGGTTTCTGCCTGTTCTATAGAACTTTAGCAAAATGCACTTCATCTCTGGCAGAGGCTCATTGTGAAGCAAGTGTTTGTGTGGCTGATCCACCAGTTACAATGTACTAAAATTCATCAGATTGCAAGCATGGCGAACATGCGTGTACTGCTTATAAGCTTTTTTTTTTTATTAAACTGTGCCCAGAGATATCATGTCAGATTAAAGTTGCATGCATTTATTTAGGCCAAATGTTCTTGACACACGAGTACGTTTTCCTATTTTCCAGCTCAGAGACTTGCTAAGTGTTCCAAGTACTTTTGCAGCTCCCACTCGATTTTTCTCCTGCTGTCTTAGACCATTTCTATACACCCACCATCATGCTGCTCCATAGGAACATCGATTTGAAACATTGTTTAACGCACACAGAATAAATGACTTTGATTTCTGTGCAGGAGCAATGTCATTAACCCTTGTGCTGTTGCTCTTTAGTCTGCTTGATATTGGAACAATTGAACTATACTATGTAAAGGACATAATTTCTGGGTGCTCAGAATAACTTGTATTCATTCACTAATTCTGTGATTGATGAAACGCTGCCATTTTAATGGACCCTGTGTTTAATCCACCATTTCATGTGGGAAAAGGGTAATTTGTTTGTTGCTTGGTTTGCTATATGGCAGTAAATTAGAGGTATGATTGTATATTTCAGTATGTTTTTAATACCTCCAAAATACAAGTGTTTACAATTACTAATACTACTAACCAAAAGATATATTATCCAAAATTATCCTTATGAAGTAGGCAGCCAGCATATTATCGAACTCAATTAAAGTTATTTTTCAATCAGTTTTATAAAGTAAATGCTTCAAGTTATGGCTGTTATGTCTTCTGTTAGAGAATAGGGGTTTATATACAGTTGGTCTAGAAATTATATTTCAAATCAGAACAGTGCTGTGTTTTCCCTTTTTACAAAAAAGCATTTGGTTATTAACATCAGACATGAAATATGAACAAAGCACAATTCTCTATAGTGTGTACTTGTCTCAATCCAGAGCACTAAGTGTCATTTCTCTCTGCTGCTTTGTTCTTCTACTATCAGCCTGAGTCACTTTTAACAACTTTTTCTGACACCAAGAGAACAATGGTGACGGGGGAGGGTTCAGCTCTCCGTCACTTTTTTCTAAATTCCCAGATAAGCTGTAATAAATTATGGACTTCAAACAAAGCCTTTGTTCATGTCACCTTTGTTGGAGGGTATAATCAGAGTTCTGATTGGCTAATATTTTTTTAACAGTGCACATGACTAAATACTTAAGCTTTTGGCCATTTCCCCAGCATAGGAAAGAGCCCATAGCAGCATTTTCTGTAGGAAGTGTATTTAAAGCGGAAGTGAAACTCTGCCCCTCAATTGCTCCTTCTTCTTGTTTTTTGATAATTAACATTTTTTTATTAGAATATCACGTTTTACAGTAATAGAGACATACAAGTAATAAACAGTACAGATTACACCATTGTGAAAAGTCTCATGCAAAAATATAGATGCATCAGAGTTTTTAGTAGCATAATACAGCGTTCAGATTCATCATGATGAGGTAGCCTTCAATATGTATATCATGTAGTGATGAATCGCATCAAGGCCATCTTCAGGACTAGGACCTGGAACACTGTAAGACTCTCATTAGAGGCTATGCACATCTGTAACATCATATATTGCAGAACAGTAACATAGTGATGTAGATATTCACATTCTAATAATTAGAAAAGACAGAAGAGAAACGGAAAGAAAGAGGTACAGAGCCCTAATCTTACACAACCAAAGCCTAGCAGTTACCGTATTGATCTAAAAAAGGACCGAGTCATGAAGGTGTCACATTTCCCAGACGGCGTTCTGTTTTTCCACAGTGTCCTTAAGTTTAGCGGTAAGCAATTCCATTACTTCAACATTTTCAATTCTCTAATATAAGGGAGCTTGAGATGGGGGGTTCTCTCTTTTTTTTCCAGTTAAGTGAAACAAGACATCCCACTGCTGTGATAAAATCTTAAGTTTCTTCTGAGATTTAGGGAGCTTGGGAGATGATCATCACAATAGAAATAATTTAAGTGAAAACGGGAACCCCCTATTTAAACGGTGTTTGCAAGAGAGTGTGGACCATCTTCCAATACGGTTCTATTCAGGGCAAGACCAAAATATTTTGATATAGAGTGCCATGAGCACCTTGGCAACACCAACATCGATCACTTACACTTGGGTGAATGGTGTGAAGATCTGGGTTGAAATACAAAAAAAAAGGACTTTATAAGCATTCTCTTTATACAGAGTGCAGAGGGAACTTTTTGCCGTCTGGGACCAAACAGTCTGCCAGGTCTCAAGAGGTAGCTCTTCACCCTGGATCTTCCCCCAGTTTAGCATATAGGCATGTTTACCTGAACTTGATACTGGGCTGGTATTAAGGATTTTATAAATGTCTGATATAAGCCCTTTCTGGGAGAGGCCTCCTTGTGATAGGTGTTAAAACACCATAGGGTTAATCGCGCCTTCTTAATAAAGGCAACAATATAAAGCTTTAGAAAACATTCTGCATTAATATGAAGCCCCTTTGCATGTGGTTTTATTTTGAAGTGGTTTTTAAAATCTTGCTTTCCTGAAGAAGCTGGCGACATGTTGGCTGATGTCTTCTGAGTCTGCAGAGCGCTGTATTTCCACCCTGTCTCCTTGTTCCGGCAGTAATCTTTCACATACGCCGTATCTGTGCATATGATAGCACAGTTCTCCTATCCTGTGTGGTGTGCTGTCTGGCCGATGTTTACATCCCCTGTGATGTGAGTGACATGGGGCTTTGCATGGACTTGAGAATGGGACTAAAATCTTGCGGTGTCTTGGTGCAGTGCCGAGTTACCGAGATACGGCATGTAAAGAAAGGACTGACGGCACAAAGAGCTTGCTGTAAACAGAGGGAAATATGTGCATGCGCTGGTGATGTCAGAAAAAGAAACAGGACGGATTACAAGAAAACAGAAACAAAACCATTAGTAAAGAGTTGCTTCCTGATTTACAGTATATGGGGGAGATTCATGAGGTAGAGATTACTACCACTTAAAAATTTTTTTTTTTTTTTTTAACTATCCATAAAGTCTAATAACAAAATGTAAGTTAAAATTTGAGTATAGGCTCTGAACTTGCATTATAAGTAAAACACCTTCTAACATGAACACCGTTAATACTTTTTATGTAAAATGTTTATATATATATATATATTTTTTTTTTTCCAGTAGTATCACTGCTTGACTCTAATATTTGTTAAATATTCACTAATGGGTATTCCGTTGCTCATTTATGAAAGGTTGTGTACTGCAGTATTTGAACCTGCTTATGTTAAGTATTTTTATTCAAGTGGAATGCTGTAGCTAAACGTTAATACCCATGCCTTTTATGTTTAATAATTTTGTTAATAAAGTAAGCTATGAACAATATATACAAAGAAAGATATACTGTAGCTATAGATATTTAAAATTTACATTTTGGATAATGTTATCATAAATCAGAAAACAGTCTAATTGCCCCAGAACATTGTCCCGATGAGAGCCTTAACGTCTGCATTTTTCTTTTATCTCATTACTTGCGGCTTTGCATAAGTAAATACTGTACATCAGTGCTTTCAGATGTTTCAATGCATATAAATCACCTTTCACTGATCAGAGTTCATTGCTAAAACAAAAAAAGCATGCAAATGTATTTCTGGCACAAATACAATAGACATGTTCTATGTTATACCATGTTTTTTCATGGATGCATATATATGTATAGTGGTACAGAAACTGGATAAAGGTTTCCAAAATCCAGTAATGAAGGAGTGTGCCTGAATATGTCTTGCATGAAATGAAACCCTGCAGGAAAAATTAAGGCAATTTAACTGGGCTGCACTTTTTTTGTGTGTGAATCCATATATAGCGAGCTGCGTTAGCAGCAGTATCAGCTCCTGCTACTCAGCCTGTAGTTTAAAGTCACACTGTTCTATGACAGTTATCCCTGAGAACGTTCTCTTGGATCTGTGGCAGCTTAACACGGGTGACAGTGTGACCTATGACAACTCAAAAACTGAATTCTGATTAGCCAAGCACACAGAGGGCACTGAGCCCTGGAGGAATTCCTGCTCAATAAAACAAAGCACCTTTTATGTTTCTCTTTGAGGTTGAAGCAAAGCTAATTGACAAATTGGACAGCCTAATGTCTGAAGGAAGAGGTGACGAAACCTACCGGGAGCTCTTCAACAGTATGTAAGTAATCCTGAAAATGTAATTCACTCAAATTTTTATACTTGGAGCTGGTGAACTAAATATGTCAATGTTCTATTACAGATCAGTCTAATCACTGTATGGCTCATCTTTGTAAATGTAACTACAGTATCTAGAGGGGCTGCTAATGCAGAATCTGTTGAGTTGTAGTTTATTGATGAAAAAGAATGAGAAGGTTATGTGTGGGTGGTGAGCTGGCATGTTGTGTTTACTGGAGAAGGTATAAAAGGTACCAAACAGATGCTTCAGTGAGTTTTTTTTTTTTTCTGTGTTGGTTTAAATTGCCAAGAAATATGCTGTTTGTCATCACTCGAACTTCTGTGTATTACTAATGAGTTGTTTTTAGCAGTACTGGATGAGTGTACGCGCTTGTGTGCGTGTAGTATTTACTATGTTTCCCGTTTTTTTTTATTCCTAACTCAGTTGTGCTTTTTTTTTTTTGTACCATCCAGAACATCCTGTATGAGTATATTGAAGGTATTTCTTTCTGCTGGTCTAATTCAGGCTTTAGGGAAGAGAATTCTTGTGAGGGATGCTGTTTCTCTGTACTTGCTGTGTATGGTGCTTCTGGCGTTCTCTAATTAGCAGCATATAAAACTGCTGTAAATCTCCAATAAAACACTGATCGCTTTTAATGTGCTACACGCTTGTATGTGACTGAAGACCTTTCATCACTCTTCATTGATTCTTTAAATTCAGAATTCAGAGTGAATGTGAATTTTATTTATGAAATGAAATCTGTTATAATGTTAACCATTTTAGGTTCTAACCAACACAGCACTTTGTACTGCGCATAAAATCTGCTGTTTTGTAATTTTACTTTTTTAAATGGCTATTATTTTATAAATAAGCCTTGTTGGTTGCATTGCCCTGCATCCTGTGTGATGAACTATGGATTAGGCACAAACCTAGCCATGAATTTTCTGTGGATGAACAGAGGCACAGGAATGCATTGGGGCTCATTTATTAAAGGCAAATATACTGTGCACTTTGCAAGTGCAGTTACTCCTGAGCTTAGTAAATGAGGTAAAGCTTTACTTTGCAAAGAATACCCAATCACATGCAAGGAAAATAGAAAGCAGCATTTTTGCTTGCACATGATTGGATGATAGAAGTCAGCAGAACTTCCCCTCATTTACTAAGATCTGGAGCAAATTCACTTGCAGTGCATAGTATATTTGCCTTTAGTAAATCAACCCCACAATCTTATGATGTTGTATTTAAAGCAGAGCTCCACCCAAAAGGGGAATTTCCACTTTAAGTCTTTTGCCCCCTTGCTCCCCATTAAGGATTGTTACCTTTGGGGAGCGGGTACCCGAATTCGACATGTAGCTGCTCCCAATTCCTCTGCGATCGCCTAAGGCGATCAGAAGCAGAAGCTGTTACCCCTCCCTTCCTGTACTCTTCTGGGACATGTGACAGGCCCCAGAAGACTACGGGGCAATTCACAAAGCGCAGCGCTTCTTGCTCATGTGCAGTGGGCACCCGTCTGTGAAGCTCTCACAGCCGGGTGCCCACACTGAAGATGCCGGCACCAGCGAGAGAAGACGGCTGTGAAATCAGCCATAGTGAGGACACCACTGGACCGAGGGACAGGTAAGTGGCTGTATTTTAAAAGTCAGCAACTACAGTTTTTGTAGCTGCTGACTTTTAATTTTTTTTTTCCTTTTTTTTCAGCTGAAACTTTGTCGAGAGTTTTTGGAAATAAGCATTAACATTTAATTCTATGCCACTGTAGTATATACAGTTTTTTGTTCACGCAAGTTATATTCATTTACATCCACCATGTGTTTATTTACTGCTAGTCTGTATGCAGGTTATATTAATAGCTGCAGCCACAGTTTTTACATAAATGACTATTCAGGGAAAAGTCCAACACTGATCTAATGAAGGGCAGCCATTTGGGACCTGTTCAAGAAACCAGCTCTTAATGTGGTTATGTGGGCAGCAGTTGGCAGCAGTAAATTTAGTGCAGCTGCCACCTGTGATAAAATCTTGTAAAGAGGGAAAGGAGTGATGGCTTCTGTAATTGTTTGGCAATTCTGGATGCATGCTTCAGTCTGTTAAAAAAATATATTACTTAAAGCAGGGACTATATACACAATTCTATTTTAATTAAACAGGTAGTAAACTTAAAATGTATGTACGTAGTATATTATATTAATAGTGCTGTCATCTGTCTGTTATCTATGTCAAAGTTCCCATGCCTGTACATAACATGCTTTGAAAAATTATCCAGGCCCTAGTTACTAATTATATTTCATTCCTAGACTGAATTATATTATGTGATGGGGTAAAGTGGATGGTGTTCTGCATTAGAAAAAGTAAACAAACAATTGACAAAATGTACTATCCTTACAGGAATTGAATACTGGTGTTCTATTAGTTCTAAGTTTAGCCAAGGTAAACTTAAAAATTCCTGAAGAAGTAATGTTAGGCTTAAAGATCGGTGCTGTTCCAGTACTTAATTAATGGGGTAGGTATCTCCACCAGGCTCCATCCTTAACATTCTGTTTGCAGTCAAAAATCTAGATAAACTGGACATTATTGAGGTCAGTATTTATCCAGCAGTAACAACCATGCTCAATTAGCAGTCCCTACTCTACTCAATGCTGGCTTTTGAGAAGGAGAACATGATACCAAGGCAGGACTCGGCTTTCAAACTGGGGATGCTGATCTCATTCTTGCAGCTGACAATCGTGAAGTATCAATGTGATCATGAAATAGTTGCCTTACATTTGGATTCCACCAGTAAATTGTTACAATAATTGCCACATTTTGTGGAAAAAAACTCCAATGTTGAATAACTGTTTTAAGACATAATCCTATCAGCTGTGGAATAAAGGATTGAAGAGTATTGTATAAAGGAAATGTCTAAACTAGGAAAAGGGTACAAAAAAAGTCTGAAGGGCATATTTTTAGTACTGTGAATCTGACAATCACTAAACATCGCTGCAGGAAAATCTAGGTGCATGTGCTTTGAATGACAGTGATTCACCACCAGTGAATTTTTGGTCAAAGTCACATCACTGCTTTATAAATATGGCCCTTAGAGCCCATTAACACTGTGTGAATTTACCTGCCTTTTTTTGCATGAAAAAAACACAGGTAACTGCAATAATACATATAAAACAATTGTTTTTTTTTGTGTCATGTTCACATCAGAACATGGTTGCATAATATTGCACTACTCTGCTCAGGTCTGCATGTCACTGCTGAAAAGCATAGTGCACCATACTTCTGTGCAGTACTATGTCTAAGAGGTGTAATGTGATAAAAAAATTTCTTTTTTTTTTTGTTTATCTACACACGCGTGGTGGATCTTTGAGACATTGTATTCTGAGAGTAGGAACTCTTTGCTATCAGAATACACTGATCAGTGGCTGCAGCCACTGATCAAGAAACCCTTAGATAGAGGTCTATTGAGCAGGAATGGCCACACATGGATCAAAATTCGGCTGGTCCCTGCTGAGCCTTACAAATTTTGATTAATCTTTGGCCAGTTTGACAATACAGTGGTTTGGGAACAAAAAAGGTTGGCATTCCTGCAGTGGTTTGGTCAAACCTTTATCTTGGTTCAGATGAGAATTTGTGAAACTGGTAGAAAATAACTGTTTACAGGCAATATCTAGTAGTTAAAAAAAAATTATACATCTCTTTATTACCGTTTATGTACTATAGTTTTGAGTATTCTATAATATTGAAATACTCAAACTGCTATACATAAAATTCCATAGTTCCATGTTATGAACATGAACAGAAGGTTATGGGAGATCCAGAATGTTACATTTATTACTGGAAAAGGAGTTGGATACATTTCAATAGCCAGCTCTGCTCCTCCCCCTCCCCCTCTCTGGCCTACACACTCTCCATGAGTACTTTGAGCCCTAGCATGATTCATTTACCATTGATAGTCCATCACTGTATGCACAGTTTTTTTAACTGATTTATTGCCTTCTAAAGGTAAACTTTTTTCTTTTAGCCAAAATTTGACATTTCTGCTTTCCAGTTTGCGCAAGTATGGCATAGCAGTGCCTATAGTTAGTTTTTATATATATATATATATATATATATTAATTCTTACTTATATTACAGTTTTATTTATATGTGATGTCATTTTGTTGATGATTGGTATACATAGGCATCATTTCCATGGTCCTTTTATTTTTAATTTAAATAGTTAGCTAGTCATGCATGGATTGAAATTCAACCAGTTCAACAGGGACTGGCTGAATTTCGGGTCTTGTTGGGGCACTGTGGTTGTACAGAAGTCAATCTACCTATCAACTGCTGTACAACTGCCTTGTAGGAATTTCCCCACTCGATCAGCATATCAGGCTATATCCTGCAACACTGATCAATGTATTCTGATGGTGGGGGAGTCTCCCTGCTATCAGAATACAATAGCCCAGTGGGAAGGATTCTCCCATCCACCTCCTAGTGTTTGGATTGGGGAATCTTGTAATTTTTTTCATCCGTGGGTTGCTTTAGCATGTACATGGATGTTTTGGAACCCATTCATGTTTGATCACTTTATGACTGGTTGGTATAATTAAACAGCTGGTTGGTGCCTCTATTGTGGCTGATGAATGCACCTCTTTGTGTGTGCTCACGCGTCTGCCTGTCTCTCGTACAGGCCTACTATTGGATACAGCAGATCACAGGCAAAATGTACAGAGCCAAAGAGAGTGGTTCTGTACCAACTGATTGCTGTGACACTGAGATTACAATTGTAAACAGAGTAATATTCACATTGATGAGCCTTCCCTGTCCTCTCACAACAGAGTAGGAGAGAAAGAGGGATTTAATGAATAAATCCACTCATTAAATTGTTTAACTTAGTGATCTAAGGTAAAGCAGGTTGGTTAAAGGGCCATTGACCACCAATGCTGGGGGATTTCAATTGCCACTGTCCACTAATGATGTGCAGCAGGGAATGGGGGTTTCAAATTGTCACTGATCAACAGTGATTGTTGGATTGT